GCAACGTTGTTAAATTAGAATCTAGTCCAAAATCATAGAAACATAGAGGTATAAGATCTTGAGGGGGGTAATAGCAGAACTAGTATTCAAACTCAGGTCTTTTTAACAAAGGGAAAATCACTTGCCTAAAGCCAAAGGGTTTTAAGTTAGAATCTAGATTCAAAATCAGAACCCCAACTCTGAATCAGATAGGTGTGAATCACATAGAGTGCTGGGCCTGGAGTCAGGAAACTCTGAGTTCAAATCTGTCCTCAGATACTTACTAGCTGTGGGACCCTAGACAGGGCACTTAACTTCTGTTTGACTCAATTTTCTCAAGTGTAAAATGGGGATAATAACAACATCTCCCTCCTAGGATTGTTTTGAGGATCAAATGAGAAAATATTTGTAAAAAAAAAGTACTTAGCACAGTGCCTGGCACATAGTAGACACTATATAAATGCTTATTCCCTTCCAAATCCAACACTCCTTCCACTGTGTCACACTGCCCCCAAGGCCACTGCACTTTGCATTCTATGGTGCTGCAGAACTGTAACTAGGGCAGGGTGGTTGAAACTTTACCCCAAGGCCCTCAGATTTAGAGGGTGCTCATAATATCTAGAAACAACTGAGCTTAGCATCTATCTAGCAAAACAAAACCTGGGATTTCATTGGAATAGAAATACTTGAGAAAATTCCTTCTACTAATATAGATTTATAGGCTTAGAAAGTTACCTGATTCACTAGAAGTAGAATGACTTGCCCAGAGTCACACGATCTGCATGTGTCAGAAATGGGACTTGAACAGAGATTATCCAGAGTCTAAGAACAGCTCTCTATCCACTTCACCTCACACTGCCTCTGTTGTAACAAGAATAATTTGTTAAAATAGGAAGCTGACAGATGGTGTGTGCTTCCTCCTTCAGGGAGCCAGCCATGCCCCAGGTGAGCTCCAATCTGAGGCTGCCAGGGAGCTCTCCCCAGCAGCATCCTAGCTCCTGCTTCAGACCACTTGCTTTGGGAATAAAATATGTCAGCTATGGCTCTGATATTGCCTATCCCAGGGACACACATAGTCAGGCACATCTTGTGACTACAAGCGTATTCCAAGCTCTTCTTTCCTGCCAAATTGTCAACTCACACAGCTACCTCTGAAGATCCTATACACCCTGGATCCTGGGCTCATTCCCAAATCTCCCCTCTTCATAGGGACCCCCCTTCACTTAGCAAGTGTATTCCTAAAAAAATGGACCCATGAGGCAATTTTTTGGCCAATTTAGCTTCATATGCCCTATAGTAAAAAATGTTAAAGGAATCGTAGTACAGTATGTTTGACTTGGAAAGGATCTAGAGCCTACCTGCCATTTTACAGACAAGGAAACTAAGGACAAGAGAGAAGGAACAAAATTTAAGATCCTTGAGGACAGGGGTTATTTCAGCTTGATTTATTTACTTTTATTCTCAAGGCCTAGTCCATAGAAGGTTGACCCTTGATAACTGCTTGCAGAATTTAACTACAATTCACTTGTGTTATTTCCTCCATTTGAATGTGAGCTTCTTGAGGGCATGAGTTATTACTGCTATTTCTTTGTATCCTCAGCACCTCGAGCAATACCTGGTATATAACAGACCCTCTGTAAATGCTTGTTAATTGAGCTGAATTGAATCGAACTCCATTTTTGCCAGGAAGTTGTCTTTGATTAAATGAAAATAGGTCAGCGGTGACCAATTGAAGAATGCATTGGAATGCTTTTAAGTATATAAAACACACAGAAATGCCTCTTTTTCCAATGAAAACAGACATGAGATACTCTCTTGCCTGATTTTCATTGAGTCATAACCTGAGAAAGAACCAACCGGTGACTTGATTCTAATCTACTGCTCTATCCTGGTCCTAATGGAATAGGGAGTGACAGATAGCTTTCTCACCTGCCCTCAGGTCCTGTCAAGCTGGGAAGGTTCCAGCAGGGGCTGGTGGCTGCTTCGCAATCTCAGAACAGGTCTGGCCACCTTCAGAGAAGCTCAGCCCCAGAGGATCAAAAAAATCACTGTCAAATCAATTCAATAAGCATGTATTATGCACCTTGGGTGTGTCATTTAATCACCATCTGTCTCAGGACTGTAGGGTGTCATATGTGTGAGTGTATGTGTATGTATGTGTATTATATATAGCGTGTGTATGGTGTATATATATATGGTATATATAATATATATGGTATATATAATTATAATTATATATATGATATATATACACTATATATATATGGTGTGTGTATATATATATATATATACAAGGAGACATATGTGTATATATGTGTGTGTGTGTGTGTGTGTGTATATATATATATATATATATATATATATATGCATGTATTTTTAATGACAGGTATTAACTGATTCCCAATTGGGTCCATAGGTATTTACTTTATAACAAGTTAAGTCGCATGTGTGGATAATGAGATAATAATCATAAAGCACTTAGCACCAAGTTTGACGCATAGGAAGATCTAAATAAATGCCAGATAGTATTACTATTAGGTCCACCTCTGGCAGCACCCACAGACCAAAGGCTAGTTTTTGGTAAGAGGGTAGGCCGGGCAGGTGGCTTACTGCAGAAGGAAGAGCTCTGTGAGGGATACTTTTCAAAAATATTTTGGTTGTTAGGGAAGGCTCCAAGCCCAGGGTGGGCAGTGACACACAGAATGCTTGATTTTTCTAATCTTGTCCAGGCCACACAAATCTGAGTCCTGTTTCTGGCCCATTCTTGAAATCTCCCCCAAAAGCTGTAAGTTGCTCTAGCAGTAATGAGGGAGAAGAGAAAGATATCTGTGCCCCCTCATCCCATTGGGCCCAGGACGGAGGAGGAGAGAGGTAGAGGGTGAGGTTAAGCTGGACACCACCTCCCCTTGCCCCCAAAATCAATCAGCTGTGGTCTCCCTCCCCTCCCACCCAGAGAGCTCAGCCTGAGCTATGTGCACTTTGGGAAGAATTGTTCCGAGACTAATCAAATAAAGGCCTGGTCCCTGCCTCCCAGAGTTTATAATCCCAGACAGATGGATCAGCCGGGACACACAAAGCAGGGCATTGAGACCCAAGGCAGCAGATGCAACAAAAGAGAACTTAAAAAGCTTTTTCATGCTCTGCTATTTTTTGCCCATCGGAGGCGGGTGGTATGGGGGAAGGGAAGCAAGGAGACCTTGCAGGCAGAACGGCAGAAAGGACAGATAGTAGAGGGGTTTAGGGGTTCTTTGGCAGCTTAAAAGAGAAGTCATGACTCAATCCTCCCATTTATCTTCTTGGAAGAGGGGTACCAAGTGTTTTCTGGAATCAAATGGAATGAGAAGTGCCCCCCTGCAGAACTTTATTACTAAGGAGGGGAGATGAGTTCTCCCACCCTATTGTCAACTTGGTGATGATGACTACTCAGGATTCATTGTGGAGAGGAGGGAAAAGATCTGGGGGTTTCAGCGGACCACAAGCTCACTATGTCTCAAACAGTGTAACATTGCATTAAAAGGAACACAGTATCCAGATTGAAGGGGCTGATGGTCCCAAAATACTCTATTCTAGACATACCACAACCTGCAGTAGTGAATTCAGCTCGAGGGCACCACATATTTTAGGAAGGATATTGCTGAGGCACCTAGGTGGCTCAGTGGATAGAGCACTGGTCCTGAAGTCAGGAGGACCTGAGTTCAAATCTGGCCTCATACCAAACACTTGACTCTTACTAGCTGTGTGACCCTGGGCAAGTCACTTAACCCCAATTGCCTAAAAAAGAAAAAAAAAACTGCAAAAAAAAAGGATATTGATAAGAAATGAATTATGGCACGATGGATGATGGATAGAGGACCAATCTTTAAGAGCTGGATTCGAATCCGTCTTTAACAAGGATCGCCCTTCACTCTTAGGCTGACTTGATCTCCCTTCTAACTCTGAGATGATGTGATTTTATTATTCTGCCTCCAACTCCAAAGTCCAGTCCTCTTTCTATCTCACTATGTTGTCCCCATTTCTAATCATGGGAACAAAAGCCAGGCTCCTTTCACCTTTATGCTAAAGTCATGATTTATGTCTTCTGGAAAATGGAAAAACATAAAACAGCCAGGATTCTGTTCTCAGATGTGGTCCTGTCTAGCCTTGACTGGTGAATCTAGCCCCTCCCTGGCACTCCCCAGATTCCCATCTTTCAGTGACGTCCAACATGAATTGGGGAGCCTACTCATCCTGATCAATGAGGCATTATCGGAAATTGCCAGAAAAGCATCAGCTTGGACACCAAATACTGGGAAACTGAGCTTGTCTTTGAAAGAAGCAAAAGATTCTAAGAGTCATCAGGAGGGTGGCAATCCAGGAGTGCACGAGCAATATGTTTGTGCAAAGACAGAGATGGGAGATGGCATTTCCAGTTTGGACAAAGGAGTTAGGCCAGGATGACTGGAGTCTAATGAGCATATGAGGGATGATAGAAAATGTCTGGAAAGGCATGTGGGTGCCAGACTGTGGAGGGCTTCAAATGCCAGGCAGAGGAGTTTATAATTAATCTGATAGGGAGCTATTGAAGATTCTTGAATGGAGGAGTGATCAGGGGTGCTGTAAGGAAAGCACATAAATCCCTTTGACCCTGCTGTCAATGCTCTCACTCCATGCTTCACTTCTTTCTTTCTTTCTTTTTTCTTTCTTTCTTCCTTCCTTCCTTTATTTCTTTCTTTTCTTTCTTCTTTTTTTCTTCCTTTCTTTTCTTCCTTCTTTCTTTCTTTCTTCCTTTCTTTTCTTCCTCCTTTCTTTCTCTTTCTTTCCTTCTTTCTTTCTTCCACTCCATTCAAGTGTAAAAACCTTCACAATTAAAGGTCAGCAGAAAAGGCATTTTCTTCACTGCATGGAATTGAGTGACCTTACATACACACACACATCACTCAACATTTTTCACAGTCTCACATTTTCACTTGTCCTCTTTTATCTACATTCTCACTCACTCCTATCCCCTACTCTTTCCACAAACCATTCTAATTTCTGCTGCTTCTCAGATACACATGCAGATCATGCACCACATAGACCAGAAGGTCTCTTAATGCTCATATTTGGCTATTTTTCGTCACTGATTTACCTCAACAAGAGGAATCTTTCTGTATTTCTAAAGGACATAGAAAAAATTAATAGATTTTTGACAAGTATTATAAAGGAATACACAAATTTAGTTATATATGTATTATTTAATTCCAAGAAAAGGTGCTGTCTTCATGCAGAGGTCCATAATAAAAAGAGTAAATTGCAGGCTATAGGAATAATCCAAGTTTGAGATGAGGAGGACCCGTACCTGGGTAGTGATGGTGTCAGAAGAGAGAAGAGGGTTCTGCATGAATATCTCTTGGAAGGGGGATCTCATTTGGAGTAGTACTCATTGTTAGAAAGTTTTTATTCTCAAAAACTCAAGCCTAAATTCATCTCTTCATAACTTCCATCCATTGTTCCTAGTTCTCACCCTTAGGGGCCAAGTAGAAGGCTCCAATCCCTCTTCCGTATGACCGCCCTTCAAAGAGTTAAAGTCTGCTATCTCCCCATCCCATTTTTAATCTCTTCTCCAAGCTAAATATCACACACACCCATAAACGCACACACATCCCTTTCTTCAACTGATATTCAAGGCATAAATTGGAGTAGCTGACTTGGAATTGGGGCAGCTAGGTGGCACAGTGGATAGGGCTCTGGGCCTGGAGTCAGGAAGACCTGAGTTCACATTCTACCTCAGATACTTACTAGTTGTGTGACATTAGGTAAGTCACTTCTTCCTGTTTGCCTCAGTTTCCTCATCTGTAAAATGAGCTGGAGAAGGAAATGGCAAACCATGCCAGTATCTCTGCCAAGAGAGCCCCAAGTGGGGTCACAAAGAGTTGGACACAAAAATGACTGCCCTTTGCAGTCCTAGTACAATAGTAGACTTGGAGTTAGGAAGTCCCCCTTCTGGCATATACCAGTCATGTGCCTTGTGGCTAGTAGTTAAGCTCACTACACCTCAGTTTCCTTGTCCACAAAATGGGAGGGTGGTCAGACTAGGTCTTCTCTAAGGTCCCTCCCAGATCTAAAGCTAAGATCCTTTAAAAGCATTGAGCAGTAAATAGGGGGCCAACCTTTGAGTCCCCACTAAATCTTTTTTTTTTTAGTCTGAGCTAAATATCTGCCAGTTCCTTCAATTAATTCTTGAGGTATTAACTTGAACTGTGTGGCTTTATAGATAGAGTGCTGGGTTTAAGAGTCAGGAAGCTCTGCTTCTACATGTTAGCTGTGTGACAGAGCAGGCCAGAGCCCAGGTCTCTGAAGCACCTTCCAGGTTGAAATCTCTGATCTATGATCCTCATTTCTCTCCTCTGGATATTCTCCATGTTATCAATATTTTTCCTAAAGGTGGTAGCCCAGACCTACACCCAGTATACCAGATGTAGTCTGAACAGGATAGAATATAGTGGTGTCTGGTGTTTGATACCATTTCAAGAATTCAAATTTCTATTGAACTTAATAATTTACAGAATGTTTTTCTTATAATGGCACTGTATGGTGGGTCATGAGAGTAATACTACATCATCCCTCTCTCCCCCCTCCCATTTTACAGTGGAGGAAACAACCTCTAAGACAGGAATTGACTTGCTTGTGATTATATGGCTACAAATGACAGAACTAGGATTAGAACTCAGGTCTTTTGACTATGACTCCTTGGAATCCTGGGAGATGGAATTAATCCTATTCTCCTACTGAGAGGAGTTGGAGAATGAGCCATCTATTTGGAATTCTTCCCAAGAGCTGGCAGATCTGAAGTTTGAGAGACTGAGGTCCTGCTGGGAAGAGGGAGGAGACACTGTGTGGAGTCAGCAATTCTAGGCCACATGGCTAATAGCTCATAATTATAGCTCCTGGGTCTCTTATTCTGCTGGGTGTTTACAGCCCAATTATGAGACAGAAAGACTAATAATCGTCCCTCAGTGGGGCCAGCAGGCCTGGAGTCTGCTCCCAGCCAGGGGGCCAGGATCTTCAGAGTAGCTAGCAGAACAAGGCTGGTCCTGGCTTTGTGGGTTCAGCCTCCCCAGCTGCATCAACACTGGCACAGGGGTAGCATGTCAAGTGACTTGGGCTGAGCTGCCAGAGATGCTGAAACCCAGAAATCAAAACATCCATTCCCCAGAATCTTGGTAGGCAAGGCATCTCCACTAACAGTCCCCTGTGGAGGCTAGCCACACCTCAGCCCCTGGCTTAGCTCTCCTTGGGAGACTGGGGGTCCTTCTCATATGACACCATTGAAAATCCTTCCCAGGCAAGGGAGATAAAGAGCACGGTGTTAGTGAAGCCAGGGTCACAGGATTTAAAGTTAGAAGGTCATCCCCCAAACTCTCATTTTAACACGTAACATTTAATAGTAATAGCTAATATCTATCTATGGCTTTGAGGTTTGAAAGTAGTATATTTATACTCATAAGGACTCCTTACTCTTAAGTTCAAGAAACATTTAAACTCTTGAAATAACTTCAGACACTAGAGAGGGCATGTATGGGTTTGCTATCCTATATATGACACATGGGATATAGGATATGTTATATAACTTATAACACATGTGTGTGTGCCCTCATGAGTATTTTGAAAGGGAAAAAGAAATAGTGACCATAGAGAGCCAATAAGGATGAGACAAAAGATATTTGGAATTTTAGCAAGGCATTTGCCATTTTTTCTCATGATATCCATATGAACAAGCTGGAGATATGCAGGGTAGATGATAGTATAGTTAGATGGAACTAGAATGATTTGAAAGAATAAATCCCCAAAGTGGTAATGAGTGAACTGATGTCACCCTGGAGGGAGCTCTCTAATGGACTGCCATTGACTCCTGCCACTTTGGGTGGATAGAGCCTGGAGTAAGGAAGACCTGAGTTCAAATCCACTCTCAGACACCTATTTGTTGTGCAACCCTGGGCAAGTCACTCAACATTTGTCTGCCTCAGTTTCTTCAGCTGTAAAATGGGGATAATAACAGCACCTACCTTATAGGGTTGTTGTGAAGATTAAATGCAGTAACATTTATAAAAGTGCTTAGTACTGTGCCTGGCACATAATAGATGCCATACAAATAAATACTCATTCCCATCCCCCTCTTTTGATATGTTTTGTTTTTCTACCACCTAGATTTTCTCCTGTGTCCCTTCTTCTTCCCCTCTCATCTCCTAAAATAAAGAATTTTTTTTACAAAGGAAGAAAGGGAATAAAACAGTCAAACTGACCAATGTTTTAAAAAAATCTGTTCTACAGCTTCGTTGATTCCTTGGAGGAAAGTGTGGATGGTATACTTATCAAATTTGTGGATGATGCAAAGCCAGAGGGAATACCTAACTCATATCATATGACATAATTGTAAATTTTAAAAGACCACTTTAGGCTATAACAATGTATAAATTCCAAAAAGATGAAAGTAAATAGGGTAAATGTCAAGTTCAATACTTGGATCCAAAAATTCAACTACAGGAGTACAGTGTAATATCTAATAGCTAGACCAGTGGTAAATAGTGGTAAGGGAGAGATGGTTAGTGGGTTGTGAGTATTAGGTTAGTCAACCATGTGACATGACGCTCACAAATACATAGGGTCCAGAAGAAAGGTTAAGCCTGATACCAGAGGACGGAGCAAGGAGAAAGTTGTAGAGTGAAATTTCAGTTTGATAGAAGGAAACACTTCCTAACAATGGGAGCTGCCCAAAAATGGAACAGGCTGCCTCAGGTGGTAGTGAGCTCCCCCACCAGTGGAGGGCTTCAGATGGAGCCTGGTGGCCCTTCATTGGAGATATGGGCCAAGTTCAGATCAGACTGTATGATTTCTGAGATTCCTTCTAATTCCTAGAGCCTAAGAGGCTTAAATCCCTTCTTGATCTACATTTTAAGATATGCTGTAAAGGTTTTATGATTCTAAGGCATTCAGGACCAATGACACTTCCCAAAAACCTGGGAGGTTTTACAGCTCAGCCTCCTTGAGGAAGAGGGAGAAGCAAAGGCAAGATAAACATGTGAAATAGAGAATAACAGCTTGATAAACTGCCAAGCTGAAATGAGTAAGAAGATTGTGCTCTTGGAATGTTTGCCTGTACAGAGTTTGTTACACACACACACACACACACATACACACATCTTCATATACTGTTAATCTAGAGTTGTGCATTGTACCTACAACCCAACCAGAAAAAAACTGGCATCCTCAAAGACTAAAGCAAAGAGAGTTGTATATTGAGGCAGGTTGAAAGATAAGGAAGGGTGAAACAAGTCTAGATTGAGATGCTACAGCAAGGGTTCTTAACCCAGGAGTCTGAAGATGGATTTCAGGGCATCTGTTAACTTGGAGGAAAAAAAAGTCTGTCTTTATTTCAGTGTAACTGGTTTTCTTTGTAATCCTATGTACCTTATCTCATGCATTTAAAAACACCATTCTGAAGAGGGGTTCATCAGTTTCATCGGTGACACACCCTTAACACATGCAAAATAGCACCGAAGGGCTGGAGGTACTTGTTAAGAAAAACTGGAATCATTAGCAAATACTTAAGAAGTTAGTAAACTTGAGCAAAACATTAGATTGACCTTTAAAGGCCAGTCTCAGGGGATTAAGGCCTGGAGAGTCATTCCTTCTGAGCCTGAGAAGGTCACAGCATAACGAGAAAGAGACTGAACTGCTTCCCTGGCAAGAAGGAGAGCAGAGAGAAGAAAAAGTATTCTAGCTTGCGCTGGGGATGGAATCAGACAGTGGCGAAGAAACCTTAGACATCAGCTCATCCAACTCTGTCATTTTACATATGAGGGAACTGAGACTCAGAGACATGCCTGTGAACAGAGAGTAGGATTTCCAAACTTGTAGCCCAATCTTCTCTCCAATGAATTACAATAGAACTAAGATGAGAAATGAAGCCAAGAAGAGAAAGATCTGGGCTTCACTCATTTAACTGGACAAAGGAATCTAGTTCTGATAGATCCCTAAAACAGATTTAACTTCCAAGATACATAAAGGCAAATTTAGTGCTAAGCCTCCCTATCTGTGTGTATAGCCTGTAGCCTGATCAATCTCCACAGTTATAGTAGTTCAGCT